CTATCTAAACATAATCTCTCTATTGAACAGATATTCTCTTTTTCTTAGATGTTTCCTGCTGTCCTTGAATCACATTTCTGAGCCTCAACCATCTCTTCTTTTACCTTCCCAGTGCTGACTCAGACCCCTACAGAACAGTGCATTTCCTGGACTGTCCTTGTCCTTTTGTCCCTACCTGGCCTGCATTTTAGGATGAAAGCAGCTTAGGTTGAAGCTCTAAATCTTGATATAAAAAAGTCATATAAAGTGGGTCTGATTTAACTTGAGCTTTGTATACTAATAAAAGCTTATCTGAATGAAACCAAATAAGAATAGTTTGAAAGTTTGACATTTGGAAAACTGCCTGGCCCTAGAGATCATAATGCTTGGTTTATATTGTTGTTTGTTTTGATAGTGAGGCTTAAGCTCCTGGGGTGCCTTACTACTATGCCAGGTCCGCAGTCTTTATATTATTTATTTCTAGAAAGAGTGTTGTTTACTTGCCCAGATTGCTCTCTAACTTGTGACCCTCCTGCCTCAGCTTGAGTTGCTAGGATTATGGGTGTGCTCCAAAATATCTGTCTGCAAATAATGCCAGGAAAGTCAGATAGCTTCTATTGTCATATTCAACTTCCTCACACCACTTTTGTTTACATTTAATGAAGCGTCTTCTCAGAACCACAGGATTATCTGAGGATAACAAAACTATCCTTTTTCTATACAGTTCTTCAGCTCACCCAGAACAGATACCACTGCTCTATTCCAGCCACAGGAATATTAACTCTGAGTCAGCTTATAGAAAAAGTGTTATTCACAATAGAAAATTTTACTGCATGTGAGGTTTAATGAAAAAATAGACTTATCAGGCACATAATATTCAGGAATTCTCATTCCATCCTTAAAATAAATACCTAATTTTAAGTATTGCTTATGCTTGGTATTCTATTCAAATCCAACTCTAAGAAGAGTCTAGAGAAAATTGGGGTCTGAATCCATGCCAGCAAAAGTTTCTTTTATTTTAATAAAGAGTTTTTAGGCTTGAGAATAAATCTCAACATACTAGGATACACTTGGGAAAGGGTAGGGGGCAGTTTTCTTTTTAGCCTCTGGATAAACAGAGAAAACAGAAGCCTGGCTGCACACAGACAAAGAGAGTAGAAATGTGTCAGTGATGCAGAAGTCACTGCCTGCCGTTTTGAATGCTACTGACACATCAAAGGGCACTGTCGGCAACAAAGGGGAAGATAATTTCTGGAGAGTGACAAAACCATTTTGGAGAACACAGCTACAGCTTGACTCATGGCTGTGCAGACAGGCGGCCATGATCTGCTCCCCAGAGGTCATGAACCCAAACATGCTTTATCCCACGTTCAGGGCAAACCAGCTCCCAGTCCCAAACCAGCCCACCACTGGGAACTTTATCCACGGAACAACTTCTGAGTATTTGACCTCAACAGCACTGCAACAACTTTAGTATAAGAGATACAAAAATTTCTACCATAAAACTATTTAACAAGAGAGAAACTATTCACCAAACAGGTACTTAGGATGTCTATTTGACTTTCTATTTCCTGAACAGCAGTTTACAGAATACCTGAAACCTAAATGGAGCTGTAAGTTAAGAGAGTCTTGAGAAAATTGGCTTGGTGTAATACATAAAATAGCTCCATTGCTACCACAATGTTAACTTTTTATGTTCTGATAACTTATTTTCATTTTATTCTTTCTGCTTTTCTAAACAATAAAAATATACTGCCTACATAATGAAAAGAATATAAATATTTTTCTTATTGTGAAAGAACACTGGACAGCAGGAATATTTTGTGGACAAATATTCAACTACTCTAAATGATTCATTCTTTGAGAGTTCAGGTAGTTAAAGTTTTATCATAATTCAGCGTGCAATACAAAGGGAAACTCAAGAGACTACGTGAGTGAGACAGTTCTATTGAGTTCACTTAATTTCCCATTAGTAATGAAATTTTTAATTACAGCTAAGTGTGTGTCTTCACTGAGGATACAGGCATATGAGGGATGCACAGTTCATTTTATAATTGTATATGTGCTACAAAAATTTTCAGAATTTTCAACATCTGATTTGACATACTTAAGGGGAATTATGACTACTATCTTAATAAAAATAAAGCTGAATTTGTATCTGCGCAAATTTCTGTGACCCAAATTTAGCAGCCTAGCTTATGATGCTGTGTGCTACACAGGCGCTGTTGGAAACAATTTCATTTCCACCCAGATTCTGAAACTCACATCTGACTTCCCTTTTCCAGAAGGTGCATTGCTGTTTTTACCTATGGAGAGGTTATTTGCAGCTTTGCAAGTTTTCACCTCCTCAGTTCATTTTCAAGTCTCTTGGCTCCTTTCCTGATAGGGAAGAAGGATTCTCCTTCTCACCAGAGTTTTCAGACTTTTCTAGTTCCTTACTCAGAAACTTCCATTCAGTGACTATCTCATTACTTGGATTTTACTCTGTCTTTACTATCAATTGACAAGCAAGCCACAGTGTAACTATAAAAATGCTAGAAGAAAGCCCTAGTCATATAAAACTTTGGCGTATGATGTATCTTCCTATTTGTGGTATGAAATCCACAAAGGAAACCTATAAAGGAAGAGACCAATAAATTCAGAATAGAAATATTTTGAAGATATCAATTGAAAACCATACACAAGTCAGACTAGTCATAAACTGATAAATTATTTTCAATCCGGGACTGGGGATTTAGCTCAGTGGCACAGTGCCTGCCTGGCATGCACAAGATCATGAGTTTGATTTCCGGTACTGGGAGGGAAAAATGTATATATGTATAATATATATATAAATATATATTTATATATATTATATATATATTTTAAGCCATACATCTGACATAGGACTATTATATCCTCATATATAACATAACCCTTATTCATAAACAACAATTACAAATAAATACAAAGAGATGTTCAATAAAACATGGTTGATGCCTTAACTGCTGAGAATATTACTTGTGTAAAGACATCTACATTAGCATTTTATAAATTATATAGAATTTGAAGTGACTTTTCCTCCACCATGCCCCTACAACGTGCCGTCCTGCTTTGGAGCCAGGGGACTTTGAATGAAACCTATATAAACAGTGATACAAAATAAACTTCTTCCTTTAATTTGCAGGTACCCAATATTGCGTCTCAGTGACAAGGGAAGTGACTAGACATATTTAATAGTAGAAAAGTAGTGTTGTTGCTGGATCTATACCTGATCGAGTGGTTCAGAAGCCTCTTTGGAACTGGTTCATGAGAGGAATTTGGAGTGGTTTTGAGACGCAGCTGGAGAAGTAGGCCTAAAATGCTATAAACTAAGTTTGGTGAGAGATTCTGCTTGGAACTGCTAGAAATACAGATGGTAAAGACCAGGCTCAGGAGGTTTCAGTTTAGAACAAGGATTCTACCTGCAGTTGGACTCAAGACCATGTGTGTTATACTCTGGCAGAAAATTTGACTACATTTTGCCTATGTCCTGACCTTGCAGGAGACTGAGATTCAGAGCAATGGACTAATTAATGTGGTAGATGGAATTTCAAGACAGTCTAAAGTTAGGGCTGTGGCATGGGTACTGATAGGGGTTTTTAAGCCAACTCTACTTTGAAAATCAAGAACAAACAGCATGAATGAATGATTTTAAAAGTTTTGAATTTGAGCAGAAGGGAAGCTCTAGTAAAGTCAGGGCCTGTAAAATTGGACTGGAAGAGAGCTTATTTGCTAAAGGATTTTTTTTTGTTTTTTGTTTTTTTTGTTTTTTGTTTTTTTTTTTGAGACAGGTCTCTCTATGTAGTTCAGGCTGGACTTTTGCTCACTTTGTAGCCCAGGCTGGTCTTGAACTTGCAATGATCCTCCTGCCTCAGCCTCCTGAGGGCTGGAATTACAGGTGTGCACCACCACGCCCGGTTTAAATGATTAACATTAAAAAGAAACCAAGTTCTTTACAACAGGACATTGGGGAAAATGCCTTAAGACCATAAGCAGAACCAGTATGACACCACTCATGCAGGGTCAAAATTCCAAAACTGAAAGAATTTGCTTTGAGAAGAGAACCTCCGGGTACCCTGGGAAAGGTCTAGGGAATTTGTTCCTCAGGATTCCATTTGTAGTGGTCAACCCTCAAAACATTCACAGACTCCTGAAGTAGTGATCTAAGGAAGTCCGGCTGTTGCTCCACCTGCAGCACTACTTGCTGTCATCCATCCTTATGGTGCTGGTTTATAGACATGCAGAATAGAAGAGCTGTAGGGTCAGAAAGGTTTCTACCTAGATTTCAGAAGAAGTTCTGGGAAGCCAGGTAATATGCCCTTAAGACAGCAGCGCATGAAGTTGTGAAAGGGAAGCTGAAAGTGCACTGGAGAGCACAAGGAGTTGGAGAAGCCCAGTGTGGGACATGTGAGAAAAGCCAGCCCAAGAGAAAAGCCATGGGGTTGCAACCACTGGCAACGACGCAGGGGCGGGCCGTCCAAGCCCTTCAGAGTTTATAGCTCACCACAGTTTGCTGTGGCTACTGGACGTGCAACTATGGGATTGACCTATCCTCCCACTGCTCCCTTTGGAATGAAAATGTTTACCCTTTGCCACTGTACATTGGAAATGTTTAACTTTTCTTTGATTTTTACAGGGCTTATATCTAACAGTTTCCTTTGACTGTCAGAGGAGATATGGTACTTGGACCTTTCAGTAATGTTGGAACTGTTAGCACCTTTGCAAGTCTTAAGGATGGACTAAATGTATTTTGGATAAATGGATACACATGAGGCTTTTAGGGGGTAGTGGTAGAATGCTATGGTTTATTTCCAGGTGTCCCATAGAGTGTCATATACTCCTAGGCAGGGATCCTGGAAGGTGATTGGATTATGGAAACTTATAGCTGGCTTGCTCTTAAGAGCTTGGGCCTGATTGGAAGAAACAGGTCACTGGGGGTGTGGCCTGGAAGGGTTTCACTCCCTCCCTTTTCTCCTTTCACTCTGCTTTCCAGTCACCACATTGTGAGCATCCCCTGCCATGCCATGCCATGATGTTCTGCCTTGGAGTGAGCTGAGCATGCGAGGACTGAGGCTACTGAAATGTGAGCCAAAATACATCTCTCTTCCTTTATTTAATATTTATTTAAATTGTTTTCTCTGTCATCTCTGTTTGTCTCTGTGTCTGTCTGTCTATCTGTCTGTCTCTCCAGGTTCTTGCTTTACAGTCCAGGCTGGCCTCTGACTTGTGGCAATCCTTCTGCCTCACCCTCTCAAGAGCTAGGATTAGAGGTGTTTGTCACCATGATGGGCCCAAACTTTTCCTCCTTTGAATTATAAGTTTTTGGCATTTTGACCCAACCATGAGAAAATTTACTATACTTTGACCATTATATACATTGTAATACACTGACAGTTGATATACACTTACTGTTTTTTTGTCTGTTTGTTTGGGGTTTTTTTTGTCTTTTTGACACAGGGTCTTCTTATACAGTTCAGGCTGGGTTTGATCTCACTTTGTAGCCCAGGCTGGTCTTGAACTCAAAATGATCTGATCTTTTAATCTCAGCCTCCTGAGTGCTGGATTACACTATACCTGGCTTACATTTACTGTTTGAAGGACATTTTACTAAGGTTTACGACCAAGAACTGTGACTACATCTATGGACATATTAGTATCTCACTTTTGTTAAAAGAAACTACAGCAACAAGGACTTTTTTCTCCCTCAATATGTGGTTTAGTAATTGATAAACTATGAGCCTGCAGGCCAAGTTCAGTTCACCACTTGTTTTCACAAAGAAAGTATGACTGGAATATATCCCATTTATCTGCATGTTGTCTATGGCAGTTCCCATGCTAGGACAGAACTAAGTAACTGCAAAAAAGATGGTATGGGCCTGTAAAACCTGAAACATTTATCATCTGGTTATTGGGGGACAAGAACACTACTTAGAATATTTAGCACATACCATAACACAGAAATATTGAATGTGTGCAGGATTTTCCATAAAATTGTATTCTACAAGGTAACGAGAGGGTTTTTTTTGAGAATATAACTTCCTTAGTAGAAGGGACTTAATTTTTATATTTTGTGGTAATATATCCATATTATAATAGTTGAATAACAGAACAATAATCTCCCTTTTATGCATAAGCTTTAAAACATATTTCAAGGTTCTTCAAAGGAGTTAAAAACAACCATGACAGAACTGAGTGAAACAATCACAAAACTATTTGAATAGATGGAATGCTGCGATTCTGTGTTATCTCCCTTAGCCAACACTTACAGACCTGTGCTCTATCTCTTAATTGCTAGATTATGTAACTGCCAGTAAAACAGAGCTCCCATTGGGCAGATTCCTTAAAACAGGCTCTTTCGTGGGGAATAATTTACAAAGAAAACTTCCTTTCTACCAATATAAACTCTCATTATCTCTATCAAAACCACAGTCTCAAAGACTCACCGGAGCCACTGTGCAGAAAGAGTGACAGGCTTCGATCACACAGCAAGGTCAGTGCTGATTCTCAGCCCTCCAGGAGCAAGAGGGGCTCCTCGTGGTTGGTGAGAAAAAGAGTGACAGAAAAATTCCTTGCAATGTAGCTAAGCAATTTCTCCCATTCTTTCTAAATTTAGTTTTCTGGAACAGAAGGTACTGAGGAGTCATATCTTAAACAGACTGGAATCTGAAATTGAGCTTTCAACTAAGAAAACTAGGATCAATGAAATCTCTCTAAAATTTCCCTTGAGAGGGTACATTCATCATGAAAAGTCAAGCTACAAGTGGATTGTGGTGTTTTCTTTTGTTTTAACTACAGATCAGGTGTCAGGTAAAATCTAAGACATGAGAGAAAAGGTCAGCTCATTTATCTTAAAGAAGAGGGACTTTATTTTGTTTTTTTTTTTCTAAAATCCAGTAAAAGAACAAAGATAATATACCAAACAATTAATAAGAGCTGATAATGGGACACAAACTTAGTCGTCTTGTGGTGTTAGTCTACGTTTGAATGACACTTCAGCTCAGGATGGCTTCTGTATGGAGACAAGGATGATTCTTGTTTGTTAAAGAATAATTAAAACAAGAAAAAGAAACTGGAGTACAAGTGATATAAGCAGATACTAATTGTACAACTAGGCATGTCTTAACTCTCTTTAGTTACCATGTTAGAGTTTTATGATTTTTTAAGATATAAAAAGTATCTTTACAGGTAATACAAGTCTTTATTGTTACAAGAGGGCTGCTCACAGTATAATATGAATAGTGGGTAGTATATTAAGTGATGTGTATAATATGTTGGCTATGCAAGATGTAATCTCAATAGTATGAACAGCATGAAACAGTAATGTTTTCGTCAATATATAAAATATGTTTAGAGGTATTACTGGAGCTTATTTTAAAAGGATCACTGGTAAAACATCCTAAAGTTGGCCAGATAGTTATATTATACAGTAACATGTTTAGTTACTTTAACAAATATTTATCGAAAATTTTGCAAGACCAAGTTAATCTTGCGCTTCCATTTTAAAATAAGGATACATGGCCACTATCAACCTACCCTTGGTGTTTTCAAAATTAGAAGAATTTGTCTATACGTGTTTACCTATAGGTGACACTAGCTAACAGTACAAACATCAATGAAATCAATCTCTTCTTTATGTAAATGAGAAAGACCAGCAAGGAGGGAATATTTCTTTTTGTTTCTTTTTTTTTTTTTTTTTTCTGTAAGATTTAAAAGATGCACATCCTAACATTCCTTGAATGTTAGCACCTTAAAAGGAGTGGAGCAATACCCCTGTAAGAGCAGAAGTGAGGATAGAACTTCTGCTTAAACATTCAGTATGCAAAGCTGAGCTGTCCTTACCTGGTAGCTTTTACTTTAGACTGTTTTCCAGAAAAGACTATTCAGGTTATCTGAAAATATCTCGCCTTCATCAGAGAAAGTATTAATCCATGGAATGTTGTGGTGTCTTTTCCCAAGATAACACTAGTTGAGAGTTTCTATTCAACTAAGTGTAGACTTTCATCAGCCTAGCATCTTTGACTCAGGGAAACTGAAACACTAGCTATACATTTTTCTTTAGATCTGGGAAATATTATGTCTCTCCTAGGACAATATATGTCATAAATGCAATTCAGAAAAGGAATAAAGTAGCATTCATCATTCATCAATAAATATTTATTAAAGACCTCCTGCTGTGGTAAATGATGAGAAAGACGATGAATAAGGCATGGACCATGGCCTCAAGTAATTCATATAGTGTTTAGGGTACCAGATTTAGCTGTGTCAATAATTATAGTATAGGATAATGATTCATGCTGTAAGTGGGGGTAAAAAAAATCTAACATCGGAGGAAGTGGCCAAGCTTAAAACTTATACATCAGTAAAATTTCCTTTATCTTTAATCCCAGTACACCGTGGTAAGTCTTTGTGGGAGATAATATGAGTGTAATAAAAATTGTGAGTAAAGAATTCACAGTAGAAACTATGCAAATCTCTCTGGTCCTGAAGAGGGATCAAGCTTCAGTAGTACTCATCCATATGGTTACCTAGAGTCTAATGGATGGTCCCTCCCAGATGGGCTATCAGGCTGCATGGGTCTGGGTACTGCAGCTTTCAAAGCAGGTTTCCAACCATTGGCTTTATGCTTTGTTTGTTTGGTTGGCTGGTTGGTTGGTTGGTTGGTTGGATGGTTGACACAAGATCTCACTAGTTAGCCCAATCTGGCCTTGAACTCTCAATCTTCCTGCTTCAGCCTCTCAAGTGCTGGGACTGTCCGCATGGGCCACTGCGCCTCTCCATTAGTTGTTAATCACTACCCTTACGGCACTGTGGAAAGTGCAGCCAGAGTTCTAATTCTGCTCAGCCTTCTCCGCTGCAAAATGATGGCTTTGGTGACTAGATTCTCGCCACGTTTCTTTGTACAGCTAAGTGAGTAAGGCAATTTTTACTATCAGCATTTTAAAGATAGGAAACTAAATCCAGGAACCTTAAGGAACTTGTCCAAGACCCAAGGCAATAATTAATATCCGATACTTGAGATTAGACACTAGACCTATAAGGATAAAGCATATTCGGTGTCACACTCAGAACCACACCTTTGTGGTAAGAGTACACACGCAGGCCCACACTGCATTATCTTAGTGTTTAAGTTATAAATCAAGATAAGAAAGTGTAAAAATATGATCTGTCCTTCCACCTTAAGAAATACCTCTCCAGAAGGACCTGGACACCCAAGGTGAATCAGGAATTCTTGGACGTCCCTAAGACAGCCTAGAATGCATAAGGGAAGATAAAACTGACCTCAACGGACACTTCCTCCTGTGCTAAAGCACCTAGGAGTGCACACCGCAATAAAAAGCATACAGGGTTCTCGCATGCAGGGTTCAATTCAGAGTCCCACGCAGATCTGGAAGTGAGTTTGGCACCCCAAAATGGGCCGAGCTTTCCAGAGTTCAGAGTACCTGGGGGCTGGTCCAGAAGAGGGTTCAGCATCTAGATGGTCATTACCTGGCCTCTGTGGGGAGGGACAGTGCCAGAGGAGAGCCTTCGCTGGTGACAGGCACAGGTTCCCCTGGCTGGGTCTAAGAGCCAGTCCGACCGCCTCTGGGTTCAACCTAAGAATGAGTAAAAACTGGGAATTTTCTTGTGAGCACGTTAGACCAGTAACTGGTGAGACCAGGCTCTGCAGCTACTGTGTTGGAACCTAAGCTCTATCGCTTTCTAGCTGTGGAATCTCAAGCAAGCTACTGAACCTTTCAGGGCTTCAGGGTCCTATCTGTAAAATGAGTATAATATTAATTGGCAGACATTAAACACTGGGTAAGGGTTGGTAGTGTCCTATCCAGCTACATTACAGGAGAATTTGTCTCCTGGAGATTTTCCCGGAGAATTACGTAAGCGTAATGATATCCAAACACTCCGATAGTCAAGGTGAAAGCCCTCGCTGTACTAAAAGGCAGGGCAAGGCGCAGGCGTTAGAATCCCTCACTGCGCCCAGGGCGAGGCTGCGGCCCTAGTCCTGCCGGTACCTCGTCCTGGGTCACTTCCTGCTGGGAGCTAGTCAGGGGTTTGGAGACGGTAACTCGCAAACGTGGCCATGAGTCACGGGGGGACTAGGAACTGAAACCCAGTGTCAGCACACTGCAGGGTCCGTCCCTCGGACGAGGGCGAAGGCAGCAGCAGCAGCAGCTGATGTAAACTGCAGGTCACAAAGCCAGGTTGACGCTCAGATCCCTCCCCACCCACTTGGTGCTCACGCTGCCAGCGCCGTCTGCAGACAGGTCTTGACATCTCCCCTCGTGGGGAACCGGGGAGACTCCGAACAAGTCGAGGCAGCTCCCTCGCACCTCCTGGAAATGCGAGCCAAACCTAGCGACTACCGCCCAGCAGCGTAGACATTTCCTGAGAGGCAAGCCTGGACACTGCGCCTCACTTCTCCAGGTGAAACGAGCTCCAAGTGGCTCGTTTCTCATCTGGTGCCTTCACCCACCCTTGCAAAAGAAAGAAAGAAAAAAAGAAACGGTAGAATCTCCGTTTCTTATAGACCAAGAACTGTAATCAGTCCTGGCTGCTCTCTTTAGGGGACAGTCGTGACTGGGCACCGAGAAGTCAGACTCTCTCTAAGGCACCAACAAAGGACTATATTTAGTTCTCAGCTCTCCGCCTAAATTCCTCTTCTTTTTTCACTCTTAGCTTCAAAACGACTGGGTTGGGGAAGTGGGAGGAGGGGGGCGGGGAGCAGCGGAGAAAGAACAGCTGTGCCTTTGCCTCCCAACTCAATCTCTATAAATAACCAATCGCGAGCGGAGGCTACTTTTCAGCCAATGAAGCAGCCCAAACTGATACAGCCTTGCCTGCAGCCAATGGAGAGACACTTGGGGGTGTGAGACTCGCGCCCCGGGACCAATGAGTTCAGAGTCTGGGAGAGGTAATTTGAGACGGAGTGTGGGTGTGTGGTGCGAAGGCTTCCTACTTCCAAGCCCGAGAGGCTGCTCTGCCGTTTGAGCATGCCCTGACTGCAGGCACCCCGAGACTCCGGGATTGGGATGCCGTCCGCCTTTCCGGGTTTTGGCCAGAGCCTCGGGGGAGGAGGACGGGATCCGTCCGGGCGAGGAGCGCTCGGGGCTCCCAGGGCCGCTCCATCGCTATTCGGGACACTGTCACAGGCGGAGTTCCTCCGGTTCTCTCTGTCCCGGGCGTGCGCAGCCGAAGGGCCAGCCGGGGCGGAGCACCGCTTCGGTGGCGGAGGTTTAGAGCGTGGGGCGGGTGCGCCCCTGGGCTGGGCGGCCCGCGGACACACACCCGCCCGGAGCCGGGGCGGCGACCCGCTCTGCGGCCGCTCGGTCCCGCGGAGCGACGCGCTCTGCACGCACCCATCCTCCCGTCCGAGCGGTCGCGACTCGCGGCGCGCACAGCGCCTCATCCAGCTCTAGGCTCGGCGCACTCCGGTCTCCGCTCCTCCGGACTCAAATCGCGAGCCCTGCCCACCGTCCCGCCCCCGCCCGACCCAGCAGAAAACCAGGAGCGGAAGCTCGGGCGGGGCGCGGCCGCGGCGCACTGGGCATGCTCGCCCCGGCGGGCGGGGAGGGGACTGGAGGGCCGGGCTGC